ATATGTTGAATGGGAAAATGATATTAATAATTTGAAAGTTTTAAAAAATGTAAGTGATCTGATTTAAGTTGAAAGCAGTTTAAACAAGAGCTGAATTTAATTGAGGGAAATCCTCAGTTCGCCTGCTTCTCTTGTTCTGTGGCTCATTTTTGAAGGACATTTCCTGTATTTTCATAAATAAAGCTCTTTCATCAGCATTCATCCATAAATGATTTATTAATTAAGCTTTGTAATCATCAGTGAGTGTTTTCGACAACATGGTCAGATGCCCAGGGCACAATAAGAGGGGGTGTCACACAACAGATGTTCTACATCTTTATTTTTTTATTTTATTTTCATAACCGCTCTTGAAAACTAAGAAAGAACAAAGCAAAACATGTTTTCCGTAAATATTTTTTCTCTAAAGTATTTGAATGTTGTCTTTACAGTCACTATATTTAAAGTATCCAAAAGGGTAAAAGACATTAAGAAAAAGAAGTTAAACAAACTTGTTAAACCTCAACAACATCAAATCAATCTCTATCAGCTTCTGTTTCCACCGGTGGCGGCCATGTTGGAGGATGAAGGTGCAGAGAGGGAGGAGGATGAGAATCCGGATGCAGTGAAAGGCGATGCAAATAAAGCAGCTTGGTTTAGACAGCAGAGAGGAGGATGAGGATGATGAAGGCTGCTGTTCACTGACATGCCTGTAAAAAAAAAAAAAAAACACCTAAATACAGCTGTACACTTTATTATTCAATACAAACAACATGAACAGGCCATGACAAGTACTGTTCATTATTGAACAAAACATTTCATTTGGTAAAATCACTGCAAAAACACAAAATCTTAACTAATTTTTGTTTGTTTTCTAATGCAAATTTCTTCATACACTTGAAATAAGACAAAATAAGTCAAAAGGAACTTATTTCAGCAACATATAGAGGCTTGTTTTAAGTAAATAATTCCTTAATATTGATGAAAAATTACTAGTTTCATTGGCAGATAAATTAACTTATAACATGGGAAAATGTCTTGTTATGAGTTAAATAATCTGCCAGTACAACAAGCCTCCATATCTTGCTAAAAAGTTACTTGTACGTTAATTTTGTCTTATTTGTAAGACAAAGACATTTACTTTAGAAACTTGACTTGATGAGGTTTTTTTGTTTTTGCAGTGCGCTTACTGGGCTATTAAAACGTCCAACCACACTAAAAAAAATAGTTTCCATGTTGCTTTGACTCAGTTAAGTTGCATCAAGTTTAACTGCCACATAATAACAGCTATTGCTGCAACTTCAGATAAGTTGACTTAAATGGGATTCATTTGACTTCAAATATTTTAGAGGAAGTTAGATGGAGTTTAAATTTGAAATGGTTTTTATATAACATACAATTTAATTGTAAAATATTGTCTGAATGTTAATACGAGCCTATTCACACATGGGCTTCATTTATGATCTTAAATATTTCAGTTGCTACAAATTTCATGTCCTTCAAACCAAAGAAAATTAATTTGGTTGAACTGACAAGTTTTTCAGCCAATTAAATGTCTGAAATTATGCTTGAATAATAATAAAAATGAAAAAACAAGCAAAGGGTAAATCAGAAATTCTTTATTTCCACTTTAATTTTTTCTGATGACAAATACAGAGAATGAAAAGGGGAATAAAGAGGAAACATTGTCTTAAATAATGAACTAATTCACATTATTGTTAATTTATTAGTAGTTATCATTTACTGACAATTCAAGAAAATAAATATTTTAAATTTGTTAATTAGCAAATAATAGACAAAAAAAAAATTTTTCAAATTTTGTTTTTCCTTTTTCAAAGTTGACACCATGGTACTTAAGCGTACTTTTTCTTTAAAGTGATTTAAAAAGAATCGACCTTACCGGTTACGTTTTCTCCTCTCTTTCTTCCTGACGCCTCAGATTCACAGCCAGAAACTGTTTGGATCCAAACAGTTTCTGTAAAACGTTAACGCTCGTCCCAGTGCGACATGGAGAAGAGTTCAGCTGATTTGCATGTAAAAATCTCATTTGTATTTTGTGTCCATCCTTTATGGGACATTTCTTTAAGCAAATGTGACAATCGTTGTGTCTGTTCACGAACAAAGCACTGGCTGACATCGTTACTCCATAAAGCATCATATTTCATCCTCATAATTAGATTCAGAACATGATCTATCAGAACCATTTAGTGCGTTATTATTAATGTGATAACCTCAAAATCTTCAAAAAGACGAGTTTAAATCAGGTAATATTCTGGGATGATGGTAATATCACAGCTATATTTGGAGAAAAATACTGAAATGTATTTACTGTCATATTTATTACATTATGTATTCTAATGAGGCTGGTTTGTCGGATTAAAATCACTATTTGAACATAAAAACCACTAAGCAGGTGTTAAACATACTGAGCTCAGGTGTCTGTAATACATATTACATTTCTTTGTTTTCATAGCGTCAGTTTTCCTCCTGCTCTCGTTTTCCAGTGACATGTCTGTGTTTACAGCCTCTCCTGCATGACTGACTGCTGCTTTCAGCATCGTAACCAAATCTACAGGGAAATGTCGCAGAGTTTTACATGAAGGGTTTAGATTTCACAAGTGTTCAATTCAGAGTGTTACACATTTTTTGCTATTTTCTTTTTTATGCTTAATCACTCAAAATAATACATAATACAGCAAAATATGTAAGTATACATAAGTACAATTAAACATCAGATGGAGGAGAGTCTGAATCGGTGCTTTTATGCGTATTGTTCATCAGTTTAGAGAAAGCAGATGACCAGTGAAAGCCAGAAGTTTGTCCAGCTTTGGTCAGAGTCAGTGTTCAGTCAGATCCGGATAAAAATGGAAACCCAGTTGCTCACGATGCCTTCAGGGAACGTTTGGAGCTGAATGCTTTGCTCAGTGGCACGTTGACGTTTGGCAGGAGCGCAAACTGATGTTGCACCTTCAAACCTTCGGTTGGACAGTGACATTCAAACACAAACAGTTTATTTCGTTGGTCCTTTATTTGTGTCTAAACGTTGTCATAAAGTACAGAATTTGTCTTCAATTTAAGTTAAATCTTAAAGCTTAAAGCTCTAAAGGAAACTTAAAAACAAGTAGGTTTGTATTTTTTCCTGAAAGTTTCACATAGAGAAACAGAACAACAGATTTTGAGTTATCAGAGTGAAACAGACCTGAAATGTTAAAACATTTTTAATGAGAAAGAGGAAAATTACAGAGGATTAATTTTTATATCCATCACTTTTAGCACTTAGCATAGTTAAGCTACATGTATAAAATGTGACTGCAGACAGGCTGACGATGATTTAACCCGGTTCACTCTATAAAACAGATTCTCAGACATTGTGCAGACTTGTAGTTTTGAGCCAAAAAGAAAACCTGAATAATGTGTTGAAAATGAAAAGATATAAAATTATATTATATTAAACTAAACTAGCTTACAAGTAATTTTTCGGCAGGATATGGTAGCTTGTTTTAAGCCAGTAATTCTGTTATATTGTTGAAAAACTACAAGTTTCACCAGCAGATCAACTCGCTTATAATAAGACATTTTCTCCTTGTTAAAAGTGAATTAATCTGCCAATAGAACTATGAATATAAAGGAATTATTTACTTAAAAAAATCAATTTCTTACTGAAAAGTTACTTGTAAGAAAGTTTTGTCTCATTTCTTGTGTACTTAGACATTTGCACTTGAAACTAAAATACTTGGTAAGATGTTGTGTTCCTGCAGCGTAGCTCTAATAAACCTTCACACTCTGCAGCATTTCAGTTTTCCTGATCTGTGCAGAAACAGCAGAGGTAACACCAGACTGCTGGGCATGTTGAACAAGAAGTTACTCACGATCACGATGCAGTTACTGGCATCTGCACCCAAATAAATGACGAGCCAAACGACACTATAAGCAAACCTGAGCAGCAGAACCAGCAGAATGGCCACGATGGTGAGGAACGCTCTCTGCTTCAATGGGTCCATCTGGTGCTGATTTTTACCCTGTTCACCCGGACCCGGTCGAATCAGGGTGCAGAGCACAGAGAGACTGCAGAAAGACACAGCCACCAGAGACAGAGCGAGAAGGAAGAAAGCATAAAACGCTTCAACGCCTCCCAACACCACCAACCCAATCCCAACGAAGCTGGAGAACCAGAAGCAGCAGCAGATCATGTTTCTGATTCTGGTTCCTGTCTCACTCCGGAGCTTCAGGTAGGTGATGGGATGAGCCACAGCCAGGTAGCGCTCCACACAGGTCAGCACGTTCACGTTCATCTCTCCATACCAAACAAAAAAACTCAGAACGACCCCAGAGAAATATATGTTGGAGTCATCGTCATGGATACCGATAAACAAAAGGATGTATCCCAGCACGTCGATCAGCTCGACGACGGCCGCCAGGTAGGTGAAGAAGTCAGAGTGGCTCATCGGCGCAGCGGAGGATGAGGAGCGCCTCTGCCGCCACCGACGAAGGCCAAGGTGAAGGATGACGACGCTGAGGGGAAGATGGAGAGACATCCGGATGAGGCTGAACGCGGTGTGAATGATGGAGCTGGGTCCGGTCTGGAAGCAGCGCATCTGGAACAGGAGCGACGAGTAGATGGAGGAAACGTTGGGATCCGCAGAGTTCTCACCGAGGAGCCGAGACATTTTCCTACAAACCCACCGGAGACGAGAGGAAGAACGAGGTTAAGATTCATTTTTTATTTTATTCACTCAGTAAGATGAACAATTCACTAAGAGAAATCATAAATGCCCTGTTTCCACATAAAGAGAAAGCTGGCTCTTCAATTCACAAAAATAAAAATTAAATAAAGCATCAGCTTACTCAATATCACTATATCATAATACTTTTCAAATTTATCTGTCTTTTTAATAAAACCATTCTGCCAACAAACTTAAGAAAAACATCCTTGAAGATGGCTATGCAATAATTTAATATAATCTCTAACTTATGTTCAACAAATATTTTAAAAAATTACTGGCCTTGGTTGTAATTTTCTTTTCTTTGGCGTCGAACCGACCTGACCCCCGACCCAACAACTGTCTTCTTGAAACTCTGCTGGCCGAGTCGCAGCATTTACAGAGTTTTTTTGCATCCTAGGATAAATTTGCATTTTCTAATTCATTTTATATGGATCATTTCATATCGAAAATCAAATCGTTATTTATTTTAGACCATCTGCTTTTGTGACGGGCGTTGGGAGTCCAAACCGTAGGATTTTCTCTGTGTTGATTATAAGTTCTTAAAATTTTAACATTTTGCCAAAGCTTTGAATTTTAGTCTCTCATTCAAGCCAAATATTACGCAGATTATATCCACAGAGTAAAATATCATGATATAAAGGTCAAAACAGTTAATTTTGCATAACACTAACCTTTAACACCAACAATATGTCTTTTCTGGGTTTGCCTAATCTTTTGTTTCATCTTATATAATCCAATTAATCACCAAAGGCTCAAATCAAACTAATTTGATTTCATAGACTGATTGGTCTCTCTATGGGGAAATGCCCAGATTTTGACTCTTATTTCAGATTAGTGTGTGTATTTAATCTCTGCAGACAATTTGCTCTGACTTGTTTTGGTGCGCATCTATTAGATTTAATACGGTTTTCCTACACATGTGTGAGGCGACTTTCTTAAACCTACAGGTGATTCTGTCTTCATGTTGATTAAGGTGAATTTGTAGGAATAACCTTTTCTCAAAATCAAATTTATTTTCCCAGAAATACTGTACCATATTTGAATAAATGGGCAATAAGGAACAATGGCTCAGTGACTTTTTTCGTTTTGAATACACACGCTGTCACTGTTTTGTATAAACATTTCATTTTTAATCTTGATGGATGCAGAAGATTAGTCAGATTTGCATTATTGCTTCCCGTTGTTGATCGAATCTTCCCCTCGTCTTCTGGTCAAACACTCATCAGAGATTTGCCTAATGAGAAATGAACCATATAGGAAAAAATATTTAGATTGCATGTTTATTTTTTTTTAAATGCAAATACCTCCAAGTAATTCTTCCAACCAATTTTCCCCCTAAAAAACATGATAGTGCCGTGTGTCAAACCACTTAATCTTGGATCTGGTCTCAGTTTGCAGCAGTCGTACTGAGATCAGAAGCAAACAGGGTGGGTATGCTTTTCATAACTTACAGAAATGATTATCAGATTATTAGATTATTAGATCCTCAGAGCTTATTGCTTATGTTTAAACAAACTTCTAGAACTGAAAACTAGCAGGAAAAAATGAGTTGTGCTTCCCAGAGGACGTTTGTAACGATTTATTAAGTCTTATAACAGAATATGCAGTCATATTTAAAATAATGTGAATATCATTGAATGTTTTTCTGTATTTTTGTAACTCAGCTCATAAGTAAAACACTTTTACAGATGACTAACATGCAGACTGATGTTTTCAAGCTTTTATTCCAATAATGAGGATTTCTAATGAATCTGTAACAATTAAGATTAGAATAAGACAGCAGATAAATTAGAAAAAAAATGTTCTTAATGCAGAAATGTGACTAATAACATATATTTAGCATCTGCTTAAATCAGAACTAATTTTTTAATCTATTGAATTTGACTGCATGAATTTTTATTTCTACAATGAAAATTTAATAATATGTCGTGGAAAGATCTCGTTTTACAGTAACTTAAAGAGTATTTAATATTATTTCCTTTAAGAAAATGTGTTTATTACTCAGTTCAATTTCTATACAAATTTTACATCAAACACTAAACTAATTTAGCTTTAATTTAGATTTTATTTAAATTTTACAGAGTTGTGTGTCAATCTGCAGTAGAAATGGGGAGAATTTTGTTCAAATTATCGTCATTTCTACTACTTACAGTAAAATGATTGTATTTTTTTCTTGCTCATCTCTGTAAACTCTCTTAATGACTTTGAATTCACAGATGGGAGTAAAACACTTTCTCTTCCTGATGGTTATGCTGTTTCTTGCAGATGACGATGGATTTTTCATCATCATCTTTCAACGACTCCTATTTGAATCCCAACGTTTCCTCCAAACACCTTCGCATCTTCATGAACTGCTTCCTGTCCGAACCGAGCTCCTTTGTTTTTACCGCCTACTCGGTCATCAACGTCCTGCTGTTTCTCCCTCTGTGCATCTTTGTTTTCCAAACTGCTCTCCTCCAGTGGCGCTCCGCGTCGCCAGCGGCCGCAACGCGTCACTCCGACGGCTTCATCTACAACCTGGTCGTCATGGAGCTGATTTCTGTGGTTGGAGGTTTCTTCTGCTGCTACGGCCTCCACAGCCGTCAGCTATCCGTTCTCAACATTGGGTGCCTTGTTTTTTCTTTCTCCTGGTACGGGCAAGCCATTTCTCACATCCTGGTATCCGTGGAGGGTTACCTGGCAACCGTTCACCCCGTCACCTACATGAGTTTGAGAAAAAGAAGAGGGGCCAGGTTTCGAAACGCTGAAATCGTCTGCAGCTGGCTGCTTTCCTTTGCGGGGATGAGTTTGGTGATGTTTGACAGCTTCTTCATCGTCATGGATTCTGCCCTCCTGATGCTTTCCTTCGCCGTCATCTTCTTCTGCAGCCTTTCCGTTCTCCTCGTTCTGATTCGTCCGGGTCCGGGGCAGCAGGGCGGTGTCAGGAAACGGTTCGACCAGCTGAAGAGGCGGGCGCTGCGTTCTGTCGTCGTCATACTGGAGGTGCTGTCGCTGAGGTTCATCTGGAACCTGGTCTGGGTCGTCATGTTCATATCAGGCTCTGCTGAATGTTTGGTGCTGATGGGCTGCACCTTCTCCAGTCTGCCCAGCAATCTGGTTTTACCTCTGCTTTTTCTTCGCAGGGAAGGAAAGTTGGTGTGTTGTAGCAACGATGCAGAATAAACGCTCAACACATATTTTAATCTAATGTGTAACATATAAAGTAGGCAGTTTACCGTGGTTTCAAAAGCAGAAAAGCATCTTTTAAAAGACACAAAACAACCAACTGTCTTTAAATCATGTACAAATATATAAAGAAAATAAATAACACATGTATAAATCTACATATGCACATTTGTTTATACAAATTAAATACAATTATTATGTTTCCAATAACTTTAACATCCAACACTTAAATAATTATGTTAAATCAACCATAATTTAAGTATAATCAAAAAGTCATCAACATATTTCACGTCAGTAAATTTAAAGTATACTTTCAAAAATCTCAATAATCAATTTTCAAAAATAAAATAATTCATTATCAAGTATTTCCAAATACTCAAGCAGAGAGAGAGAGAAAAAAACTGATCAATATTAAACTATTTAAACATGTAAGTACATTCAATTCATTTTACCTTCATGCCAAACTTCATTGCCATTTTAGCGTCAATACAAAAAGTGCCAAAGCAATGACAAAATAAAACCGGTGAAACAGAAAACAATTAAATGCATACATAAGAGCTATATCCACAGTTTGGCTTCCATTAGATTTCCAAAAATAATTGTTTTATGTTACGGCCCCTGGCCTCTTGAGGCTGTGCAGGCTCCCTTTGTTATGCAGGTTCAGCTGTGAGAGCACATCTTCCTGATTGGCTGCCTGGAGGCTGTAGGAAAGCAGCTACACCATTGGACCAGCAGAGGATTGTCAAGCCAATCAGACGTTGATGAGGCCCACCTGCACCCTATAAAAGGCTCCTGAATCCACTCCTCTAGTGGGGCAGCTATTTTGAAGAGGTTTTGTGAAGCTGCCGCCTTTTGTTTTGGTAGTTGCAACTGCTTTAGGCAGGTTTTAAGCTAGTTTGGTCTTTGTTTGTTCAGTTTAGCTACTTTGACTTTGCTCCAGTTAAGTATGAGTTAGAAGCCCATGTTTGGGAGGCTGTGTGCTCCCTGCAGCCTCCCCTTTGTGTGTGTGTGTGTGTGTGTTTCTTTGCATTGTTTTCCTTTTGTGGTTTATTTTGAGTTTACTTTGAATTGACTTGTTTGGACTTTTGTAATTTTAATTTGCACCTGGCATTCTTGAGTTTGTTAATCCCTTTTGTTTTGCATTCATTTGGTTAAATTGTATTGTTTTGTGAAACTTTATTTTGTAATAAATCATTTTTACTTTACACTGTCACTCCGGACACATTTTTTGTTACAGCCCCTGGACCCCTAGACCTTGGGGGCGTAACATTTTACCTTTTCAAAGGAGTGAGAAATACTTAACCTGAATGCTCGGCCTGGTGGTTATTAATGGGAAAATCCCAGTGGCGTTCTGAGCTGGCAGTCTGTCTGGTAAGAACAACGCTTCAGTGAGCAATCGACCAGTAGTTTTAGACGCAGACGATGCTTCTACAAGATGCTAAGAAGAACAGACTCACCATGTAAGGGAGTCTGCAGACTGAAGAAATGCACTCAGAGGACACAGCCACAGTGTGAGCGGGGGCTTCAACGGAGCTGGAGAGTTTGGGGCAAAAAATAAAAGTATGCGGGTTTCAAGAATACATACATCCGTTAGTTAAAGGCTCGTTGGCATCCTAAGCTTTAAATACTTTGCAGAAGCAGGTGTTTCCATTACCAAAGGATATACAGTTCAATTTAAGCTATTATTATCCAGTGGTTTCTTTTATCAACTGAACCTGTAGAAATCTGTTTTTACTTTTTACATAAAGATTTTTTTTTTCTTTTGCTGTAAAAAAAAAAAAATCCTTATTTTGTTCCTCATGATTGATTTCTAAAAGCAATAAAATGGTAAAACATCCAAGGGATGAGTATTTTTTTAATATAGGCACTCTACCTGACATAAACAAAACTGAATTTAAATAAAATAAACTATATATGTTCCTTTTTTATCTGACATCTTTACATTTTACTCTTTAAATTATTCTGACATGAGGTTTCTCAGCAGCACACCAGTCAGACGTTACTGCAGCTGCTCCACTTTTAAAGGGCATCTGACAGCTGAAGGATCAAATCTGGCAACGTTCTGTCGTACCGTGCTGCTCATACTGGAAAAGGTAAACGATAGGAAAAATATAACAAATGTGCATGACACACCCACTGTGCCATGTCAGCGATTTGTGTTTTGCATAATGTTGAGCTTCACCTTAAAAAAGTATTTGTTTATTCTCATGTAAATCAAACTGAGTTTATATAAATAGTTTGACGGGATGCAAAAAGTTTCCACGGCTACTAACTTCATGTGAAAGTGAATCTGGGTTGGGAGCTGAGGATTCACACCGAGTGCTGCTGAAGCGGTGAGTTTACTAAAAATACATCAGCTCATAGTTTATCATGTTAGATAAATTATACAAAAATACAGTTGAAACAAACACAAAAAGATATGTTTTAAAAATATTTTTGTTTTGTGTAAAGTTAGTAGGAAAGGCAAAAGTGTTTTCTTCTTTAAACAGGTGAATTGTTTTTAATTAATTCACTAATTAAAAACACATTTGTGCATTTGTTTGTTCTCAGTCAATTCAAATGTAAAAACAGCAACAGCCCCAATAGTGTGTGAGGAAAGAAAATGGCTCAGCTTCAGATAAAAGAACAAACATGATGTTTACCAAATTACACAAGATTTCTTTTTTTTTTAAAGATAAATGTTTTAAAGGATGCATGTAATAACAGGACACACACTCCTTACTCCTCAGGTGGTGTTATAAAAACTTAAACATCTGACGATGTTTCAAAATGTATATGAAGGAATAAAGTGTCTGTTAACAAATACAGAAATTCTGAACCATAAAAAACTTCCTAATAATTTAGTTAATCCTATAACTGCTACATTTTAGTGTTCATACAATTTTTAACACTCTTTCTTCAAAACAAATGTTCTTCCTCTAGGAACACTTTTCACATCACTCAAGGTCACTGAATAACAGATGCAAAGCAAATAAGATAATATATATATATATATATATATATATCCATTTCTGTACAAACTTAAACTATTTAATTTAGTACATTTACATATTTAGTAAATTTGAATATTATTGAAAAGTTCATCTATTTCCCGTTTTCTGTATTTGCTCAGTGAAACTCATTATATTCACCACAATTGATTGACATTTACAAGGTTTTATTTTTGTTTAATGATCATTTTCTGCTTATAGTTAATGAAAACACAACATTTTACATTAGAGCATTACATCACAGCAATAAAAACATATTTTTAGTACAGAAATGTGGCCTAAAATATGTTACAACCACCACGGTGTTAATAATTTTATTTCCTCTTCTAGATGTCGGCCAACTTGTCTTTCTCCAACGACTCCGTTTTTAAACCCTATTTCTTCGCAGCCAGTGGTTACGACTGCTACATCGCCCACCCAACCCGGTTCATCTTCATCACGTTTACCGTCACCCAGGTGGCTCTCCTGTCTCCTCTCTGCGCCTCCATCCTCTACCTGGGGCTCCAGCAGCTGCAGCAGAGCCACTCGGACTGCTTCACCTACCACATGGTGGTCATGGAGCTGATCGGTGTGTTTGGGTGCATCGTCTCCTTTACTGGCGTCTGCATGAAACATCTAGAAATACTGAAGGCTGGTCTTCAGGTGTTTTGGTTCACGTGGTACGGGCAGATTTCCTTCCACACCCTGACCTGTGTGCAGCGCTACCTGGCCGTGGTTCACCCCGTCACGTACCGCTGCCTGAGAAAGGGACGAGGAATCAGAATCAGAAACATCTGCATCGGCTGCATCTGGATGCTTTGCTTTGGAGGCGCCGGTGGTGTTAACACAGGAAAGTATGTCTACTTGGATTCCAGCGTCATGGCGTTATCTTCAGTAATCGTGCTCTTCTGCAGCGTTTCCGTTCTCTGCGTTTTGGTTCGTCCGGGTCCAGGCGGACCGGGCAGTGAGAGGGCCGACCAGTCGAAGCGGAAAGCCTTCTGCACCATCCTGGTCATTCTGGGGATTCTGATGTTCAGGTTTTGCTTCGGTCTGGTTTGGGTATTCTTTGATATTTCGGGAAACGCAGCAGAATGCATGTTGCTAACATGTGGCATCTGCATTAATATTCCAAGTAGTTTGGTTTTGCCTTTGTTGTTTCTACAAAGAAGAGGAAAATTATGGTGCTGCAAGTCCATTTAATCAGAAAAAGACAAATAAAACCTGTTTATATTCAACTGTTTTGATTTTTTAAATTTATTTCTTTTTGGTCAAGCTTTGCTGTGACAGCAGTGATGCAATTATGCTAAAAAAACCACCAAAAAGCTGGAGACGTTCAGGTTGTGACCTTTGACCCCTCTGGCTTCAAAACATTTTGCCCAATCATTTCTGCTGCTTGAGTTTCAAACATCTCTCCTCTGTAAATAAACTGTAACTTCACCTTTTACTTGCCAAGACTGTTTATGAAATGTAAATGATTAATAACTTGTATCTTGTGGATTTATTGGTTTATTTTGAGCCATATAAAAGAAAAATGTATATTATTCTTCTTAAGAGATAAAAAAGGAACAAACAAACCAACATGCATCCCCTTCACTGCCATACGGTTCACATTTTCATTTTTGAGGAAGAAACAAGGTGTTTTTCTTACTTTCAACTTAATCATATTAGCTTCATCTTTGTTGTGTGTTTTTGTTTTTATTACAGCAGGAAACGTTTTTATTATGCCGTAATGGAAGCATATCATTTTAGATGTAGACTAAAACAGCAGCTGTTTAGATTGACCTCTGAACCGTAGATGAAACACTGACCAACATTTTGATGTGTGATGAATTGACTGTTTTTGTGTTTTTATCATGTAAAGCACTTTGAACTGCTTTGTTGTTGAAATGTGCTACACAAATAAACTTGATTGATCATTTAAAAAATGCGTATTTTCTTTCATCATGATTGTTCTTTTATGAACGCAGCCTTGTGGTGCACAATATTAGTCAAATCTCACATTTGGTAAACATTTTAAAGCCATTTTTCATGGCTTTTGGCGATCTGTAAATCTGTTCATGGCTCTATTTCTTGACACTAAAGGACAAATTTATGGAGTGCAGAATTAATTATTCTGCCAACAAATTGTCCCACCTGCTTTGCCTGCATGTTGGTTTAGTCAAATGGGATCTAAATGAGGTACGAAGATTTTGCAAAAGCTCTGCAAAAATGTAAGAAAAAAACAACTATTAATTAACTATTAAACTGATTCACATTGATTTGACAAAGAAGCTGAACTGTTACAAT